ACACATATGGGTCATTACTCACATAATTATTTTTTTTTCTGAGGGCTGGGGAGGGGCAGGGGGTGCAGAAGAAAAATAAATTGTTAAGGGTTGTGTTCTCAGTCACCTAGAGGGAGTACTGCCTACTACAATGACTGGTATTCTTGAGAGGATGGCAGGTACGTACTGCGGGAAGTCAGTTCTCAGGAGTCTTAGAGAAACAGCCTCAATTTTCAAGTCAAACGGTTGCTTGTTAGTGAAAGGCAGTATATGTGTAAGTGAAAGAGTTTTACATTATAGGAAAGAAAGATAATGCGGGAAAACCCATGTTTTATATTTGCCACCTACTTTATGAAATCGTGTTCTCTCACATGTAGACTTTCAGCAGTGAGAAATTAGGTGAACTGCATCCCCACTGTTCCATGGTTTTAATTTTAGGATTTATTTCATCAGTTAAACGTTGGCTTTTACCATCATTAGGAAGGAGTGCAAAAGCTAAAACTAAACATGAGCTTTTCACTTTTATACTTTCCCCTCTGCCACTGGGGACTATTCTACACAAAAGTTGTCTTCTTACCAAGTAAGAGATTTTTCTACACTTAGTAGCCAATACCTTACTTTGCATTTTTCTTTTCCACTTAGAGACAAACTTAAAATTGTATTTTATACTTTACCAATCTCATCCCTTTGTCATTAGCTTTTTATAGAACAGCACAAGCCCAATTGCTTGCTTCAGTTCGAAATGTTAAGGAAATCTTCAACCATCCCAGACAAATTAAAGACTAAGGAATGCAGTAACTGGAGACTTAGCCGATCCAACTCTCCTCACCCATCTTCAGTGCCACAATCATTATGTTACTGTCCACAGTAATTGCTGCCTAGACTTTGACCAAATTTATCGTGGCTTTGTCCTCTGTGCTCCTCCTTTACCACTTGCCACTGTCTGGATTAAAGAGGGAGAAGCCCTTAAGGTACAATTACCTCCAAGCCAGCGAGCCAGGTGGTGGAGGAATAACGTGACCTACACCTACACATTGAGCTCATGATTTCCACTTCCCTTGGCTCAAGGCCTGGAAACTTGACACTTTACCAAATGCCAGGCCACCCACTGAGGGCAAAATTAACCTCAGTCTACAGGTCAGAGAGGTCTGATTTCCTTGTATTTTGCAAAATACTGCTTTAAGGATATGAGGTTAATGGAGTTGTCTGGGTAGGGGCATCTGAGACCATTTGGTAGGTATTTTAGTTCGGAAAGGTTGGTTGAGGTTTTTTGCGGTGAGGTTTTTTGGTGTTTTTTTTAGAAGAACTCTAATGAGGATTATGCAATCTAACAACTGTCCCTCTTTCACTTATCATTGCAACCTCCTCCCTTACCACAGATAACCTCTAATTTAATATTTAACAGTAGTTTAAAATTAACAAATTCATTTAAATGTTTTTCATGACAAAAGAAACCCTTGTAAGGTTAATAATTCAGTGGTCTTAAGGATCTGTAAAGCCCTCAGCTTCAATTTGCCTCTACATTAAATGTTAAAATTGCAGTTTAACGTAACAATCAATTGGAATCAATAGTACCTTTGAATTTATAGCATGTCTCATCTGTCTTTTTGGACCCAATCTTCAAGGGATTAGCAAAAAGACCACGTTCGCACCATTCCTTCCCTTCATGATATCCATGGACCTTCCTGTTCCTTTGTGCTACATCTTGTTCCTCCTTATTATTCATGTGCTTTTAGCACCCACTTCCAACTACTTCTTAGTGCTTTCTACAAAACCAGCCAGCCAGCCCTCAGGAATCAGGAGCACTTTTACAGTTTAACTATGCTAAATGAAAACCAGTTAGTGAATATTTAGTTAAGAACCTAGCTAGTATTGAAGGGAAAAAACTGCTCTATACCCTTTAAACTTTTACAAACTAAAAGAGAACAAAATGGGCATAATCAGTTCCGTAACAGAAAAAAGAAGTATCCTTGATTCAAGCTTTTTAAAAGGTAAACAGTGCAAACCTCTGCTTCTGCATTGTCATTTCAATTTCTCTTTACCAATTGCTTCAAAAACACAGTTCACATTGTGTAGTCAGGCAGAGAAAGACATACACAAAAGTTGCACAGAAATTGTCTAACTTTTTTGCATCCTGAGCCAAAAAGGGCAGAATGTATACTGTACTTTTGAGAGTGAGTTTAAAAGGAAAATGACTCGTTTAACGTTTGCCCAATTTTACAACATGAAAACGAAATGAAAATGAAAAACCCACAAATTTTCTACCATTTTAAAAAGTCATTTTCCATGGAAAAACTTCATTCTGTAGATAGACCAACTCGCCCCTACCTCCAAACTAGCAACACACATTTCTGTATCTTGCCTGACCACGAGACAGGTAAACTATAATGAGAAAAATCTACACCGATTTGCATAGGTTATCTAACAATATAGGACGATGTTAAAATACGGTCAATTGAAAATGCCAGCTGCAACTTTCATTTCAACCAAAATCAAAGTAACTCAAAAATACTTGCACAGAGCAAGGAGGTCACTTCAGTGAGTTAATACCCACACCTCTTGAACTCTGCAAGCTTTTATTAATGCCAAACTTATTGATCCACATTGTTCTGAAGAATTCACAAGATACAAATGAAGACTGAGACCATCTGACCCTCTAAACTGTGCATGCAGACTGCCCAGCACATTATCAGTCTACTGCTCAAGACCTACTCAAAAGCAACAGTATAAGATGAGCAAAGCAGCAAAAAAATCCCAAGACATTCTGCCACTTCCACCACTCCTATTCACAGACCTGTAGGCATCAGTAAAATGGGAAAGTCAAACAAAGCTCATGCATACACTTTGAAAAGCCAGCAGAAGTCAGACGTTTCTCCCTGGAAGGAAGGATGTGCACCAGCTCCTTATCACATCAGCTAGACAACTGGGGAAAAAAAAAAAAAAGAGAAAGACTGACTTTGTAAGGGCTGACCATGGTTGCCTCTCATCCACTTAATTGCAGGCTCCGATTGCCATGTTTAGTTCACCACATATTAGGCCTTCAGTTCAATCTTCAAGATTCATATTTGTCTGAACAGACAGGAGAGACTGAAGGTAAGTTAGAGGAGTACAGCATACAGGAGGACTGACTTTGTTGGGGAAGAGAGTAAGAAAAAAACCAAGCCTGCACAGACGACAGACTACCACTGCAAACTGAGTAAGACCATCCGTAGCTGTGGGTGGAGAGATAAAAAAAAAGAGGAAACATTGAAGAAAGCAAAAAGTATGCTCAGATACAATATGGAAGAAACTACATGGAGTGAAGTAAAAAGTGAAAAAGATCTATTAACATCTACCGCCTTTGCTGGCTAAGTTCTCTTTGAGGAAAGGAGTGAATTTTCTTATATCTCTGCACAGCGCCTGGCACAGTGGCATGCAACTTGCCTGCCGGTTTCCAGACCATACTACAGAAACGGCAAAGAGCAGCAAGAGACCAATGCAGCAAGCCAGCCTAACAGGTTTTAAGAAATACACAGTTTGTTGAGGAACCAGACTGAATAACATAATGCTCTTAAGGCCTCTCCAGATAACAACTAAGGGGAGGAGAAATTTTCTTCTGTATTGATCAATGAAGTGGTGGTGCTGGGCTGCAACACGCAGCTTGGAAAAAGCATCAGTTAGATGTCTGCTACTACGGTAAGAATCTGTAATAAAAACTAGTCGACAACATCACAGACCACACCAGAGCACTCATGAGAACACAATCACTATTATTATTAACTACTAACAGTACTGTTATTTTGCTGGCGGAAATACAATCTTAAGTTCACCTGAATAGGTACCACATTCTCTACTCATATCCTGATCAGCCATTACATTTATAATATAAAGGTCAATGACAGATGCCTCAAATCGTTAGTCTACTGGATAATAAGGGCAGAATGCTGGAGACATCCCCAATAGGGAAGTGAAATTCACTAAGCAGCTACTACTTTGGGACTCTCTGATCTCCTGTATCGAGATAAAACACTTCACATGCCACAGATAAATACACTGAGCACAACTCAAATTAGTTTAAAACAACTTAAAAGACAAAAAAAGAAGTGTTTCTTCTCAGTACATCCTCCCATTCTGCAATACAAGTAGAAGCACTGTGATAGAATTACTGGTTACCCCAAATCATTACTTTCGGCTTAAATTTGAAATAAATATCCTGGGCAGTACTGAAAAATCTGAGTCAACATTACTTACAGATTCATTGCCTGTGCAAAAGTTCATATTCCAGACACCTGTCAGAAACTGGACAGGTACCACATGCATACACACCTAACTCAAACCTATGCTGTACTGGCCCAGATATAGTAAAAAATTCAACATTATAGCTATAAATGTTTTTGGACTACTATTACCTATGTTTATGCAATGGTCAGAAAGATTTTGTAATAGATGCTGTGGACCACAGCCGGTATTTTCACTTTTCTACTCTCAAAAAGACAGTGGTGCCCTTGGCACCATTTTTTATTTTTTAATATTACAGGACTGTTAAGGATGTTCCGTATTTAGGCTAATTGAGTATTTTATGTAACCTTCTTTACAGTACAGGGAAACCCCAAAGAGCAAGCATAAACAAAACACATAAGCAAAAATCACCAAATCAAATAAACCAGGAAAGATAATTACAAAATTGTGAAACCCTACATAAGCTCTTTACACATTTTTTTTTTTGTTTAGTAGATCTACAATACTGAATGTATTTCTAAATGCCACATTTTTACCTCTAACACTTAGATGGATCTACACGGGATCTATGCAGAATTAGGAGACTTCTAGAAAACCTTATTGAAAGTTTTGTTTTGTTGCAGTTGACTTCTCATTTATTTAAGGTAGTCGCTACTAGAGTTGTGCACAAAGTCAAGCCAGGGACACTCCAACCATCCTTAGAAATGACAGTCATCTGTAATATGCTCAACAGAATTTAGTCAAGGTAGTTCTGTGCACACACATGCACAAACATTAACATAATATTAAATTATGGAACTTACTTTTGTGCATCTGCAGGTCGTTTCCAGCATCCTTGTAGATCCTGTGAGACATTCTTCCCAATATTACTTAAGGTGGCATCATCCTTATTTACAGAATCCTTTTCTAGTCTAGCTGTAGAACAGATAGGCTCTTCAATTTTTGGACACTTTGGCCGTGTGTCCTCTGGAAGGGTATTTGTGCTCTGTAAATCCTTTTCACATCTGTTGCGTTCATCTTGGAAGGTAGAGGGTTTAGCTTCCGCCAAAGAAGATTTTGTTGCAATATTAAATAAGCTTCCAAGAAAATGAAAAAAGCCTTCTCGGGGTTGCTTGTCTTTATCTACTGTTTTGATTCCAGGAGTTAAACTAGGAAGGCTATTAGCCTTTTTCAGCTCCTCCTGGATTTCAGACTTGCTAAGTTCTTCTGTGGAATGGTTCTTCTCTTCATTTTGACAAACCTAAGATAAATACAAGAAGCACAGAAAGATGATGTTTCCTGTCATTTTCCTGCATTCCCAAATTCCTTAATTTTAATTTGCTCCTATGCATGATATTCCTTTCAGGAGATCTGTTGTTCAGTTCATTTTAAGATCAAAGCCCTGTGGCTCTCCTCTTGTTGTACTGAAAAAGTCTCTAGTCTACAAGACTACATAGGCTAGAAGATTCACAAAGCAGCTGCAGTGGAAATAAAGCACAGAAAGATGGAGAAAAATTGCTTCAATTCGCAGGAAAAAAACCACAAGGAAGAAGTGAGGAACAATTTTTCACACCACTATATTACAAGTAAACAGAAGTGCTTCTTATTTAGTAACAGGGCACATTCAATATTACTTACTCACATATATGTCCTACCACAAGGAGATTATGAGATTAGGTTTAAAACATAACTTAAAATAAAATAAAAAAAAAAATTAAGTCAGCTTTGGCAGCTCTTTCTTAAAAGAAGGGAAATTACACACTGGCTCATTAGCAGACAGGTAGTTCATTGTCTTATTGTTCCTAAAACTTTTGACTCTTTTTACTGATTTGCCTTAAGTGCCACTCATCTGCAGCAAGGATCCTCCCTGGTCCCATCGCACGTTACACCAGTAGGAGGAAGCAAGCTAGCAGACTCATACTCCTCTTCGTTCAGGTTATCCTCTGAGACAAATCCAGGTACATCGTAAAGTACTTCAAACTCTAACCTGCTCAAAAAGCACAGCTTCACGAACAAATCTATACACGCTTGTGAGATGAACAGTTTTCAGCTTGCAAATATACACAAATACACCACAGCAAAACACAAACATAATATATCCTTAAATGTAGGGTAACCTGCACTTAAAAAAAAAAACCAAACAGGAGACTGAAGAACAGAATTTGAGTAAGAAGAATTCAACTCACGTGCCAGACATTAATCCTATCCGCAACCCTTAGCAATCACACGTTGCACCTTTTGGCTAGCTTTCCTTCAACTCCACAGGCAGTTACCTGCACAGCTCCGTAGTCTACCACGTTCAAACTGCACAGTTTTTCATATAGCCGAAGTCCTACACACCACTACCCCTGCAGCCATGACCTTCTGAACTGCCTATCAGCTGTATCAGCTAACTGAAAATAATTAGTACTAAGGCAGGGCTTTACCTCATTTAAACCACCTGTTCATTTCTTCCCTCAACTCAGCTGAGCATCTGCCCCCAGGGGCAAGACAAGCTCTGTTCCTCACCAATTTATGCCCTTGAATTTCCTTGGCATCAGCTTCTCTTATGGATCCAAGAACTGCTGTCCAAGCCCATGCTACTCTGCCAAGCCCATCTGCCCAAAAAGATGATGCAACTTCACTGGTAGGCTTCACAAACACCACGTGTAGCCATGTTTTCAGCTTCGCAAACTGCAAATGCTTTTTCCCCAGACCAAAATTTTCTGGGGACCACTTCCCACCCAGTAGTAGGTGCCATATGCCATTGCTGCCTATGGTATCTTTACAGTACAATCCTTGTCATTTCAAAGTTACCCCAGCTTTTAGATGAAACCTGTTCTGCTCAACAGGAATGGGAAAGGAGAACATGAATAACAAGTCCTACACAAATTTTAGTTGTGTCAACAGTATTTTGGAAGAGACTAATTGTTTCAAATTGGGTAACACCTATCCATCCAATCTAAGCAGAAAGCTACTATTTTAATTAGGTCATTAATCCCATTTCAACTCGAAGATCTATTTGTTTCAAGTAACCTAAAATAAGCAAGTAGGTTTATTTAATAGTCCATCTAGGATCATGTTAATGATGAAAAAAGTGTTTTCAATGAACACAGTTTAATCCTTGGGGAACAGCAATATCTTAAAAACTTGCAAGTTATACTTAGTGATACTGGAGCAGTGGTCTTTAATCTTCAAGCAATATTTTTTCACCTTTTTCATACAAAGAGTAGATGCAATTGCTTAATATTAGATCATCAGATGTATGTGTTGAAAATGGAATTGTTTATGTGAGGATAGAAACTGAATGGCACTAATTTGTCCTTGAGAAATCTACACAATCTCTATTTTCTTCATAGAGACAAGATACTTAAACAACCACATTAAACTTAAGTAAATTTTCAGAAGTGGGAAAAGTCACACTCTAGCCTTTTTTCATCCCACCTGTGACAAATCCCACCTGCTTCCCCACATACTGCACTAATCAACAGCTGATGTGTCACAAAGGGATGTAGTCACCCCCGTAGTATTCAAGGATTTACGACTTTACAAGTCAGCTATACCCAAAACCCACCCCTGGAAAACGACAGCAGTGCAGCTTACAGACCACAGTGCTGGCTGGTATCTTCAGTACTAGGCAACTCTGCAAGTAACATGCAAATCTGGGATGAACCTCTTGAACATTCAACTTTATCTCACAGGAACTAAGTACTTTGCACATGGAAATACAAAACAGAAAGAAGAAAAAAAAATTTTGAAAATTTGGTAATACATGAATGATTCACCATAGTCAACTTCAAAGTTCTACTGTCATCATTTCTTCCTTCACTTTGATTAATATCTCAGCAGTCTTCAATACCGCTTTTTGATTCAACTTTAAGTGAGGGTAGGCATTTGCCTCTTGTTGTGTGATTAATATAATTCACACAAATTTGTCAGATTTAAAAGAGTATCTCAGTGCCGGAAGTGCACACAAATCTTACTACTTTCTCTGCAGATGTAACTATTGTAGGCTATAAACATTAATTACTACAATGTCTATGAAGTTAACAGCTAAATACATTAACATAATACAGAAAATAGTACATTCAAAACTTGTCAACAGTGCAGTATTATGGGTTTTTGTTGCTTTATTTTTTGTGGGTGGTTGGTTGTTTGGTTTTGGTTTTTTGTTTTATTTTTTTAAAAGTAATTTTTATTCAGGAACTTGTGATTTTTTTTTTCCTATTAGGAACTGTGACTTCAAATACAGCTAAATCTCTATATGTGAAATTCTTCCCCTAGCAGCTCTGAGACATAACACTTGTAAAGACTGTGCTTCATTTTTGTAAGCATAATTCATGCCCTGCATGAAAAGCTGTTTTGTAGTCTCTGTTTCCAGAACAGAAATCTATTTATACTTTCCTTCCTCTTTAATCTTCCTTTCCTTACTTAATTTTTAGTAAATCAAAAGAACAGGAAGTTTTAATATGAAAGGGTCCTACCATACCTTTAACCATAAATACTGTCTTGCATAAAAAAAGCCCTGGAGAACATTTACACTGTGCTTACTTGAAGACATACGTGGATATTAAGTCCCAACAGAAAAGCTATGCAAATCCTTCTTTCTTCCCTTCAGTATAATCAATCCTACTCTCCATATATTCTCCCTCCTGCTCCACTTTGCTATAAAAGACAGGATGAGCTATTGCTGTTTTATCATTTGCCCATAAAATCTCAATCTGAAGTTTGAACCACTGTTCAGGCATTATACAAACAAAACTCTTCCTGCTACAGATTTTTGAAGTTTGTGTTTTAAGATAATGCCGTATTCAAATTACTGAGACCAAAGCACATGATCTGTAAAGCCAGCAAGCCTTTAACACAGCAGGAGCCTTCACGCACAAGTGCCTGACGAATGCAGCAGTATGATGGCAATTTCACGAGGCAGCATCAAGATAACTTTCACTTATTATTTCCCATGCCCCTTTCCAAGCTCATCTCTGACAGAAGCCCCCAGCAAATGCTCCGGGAAAAAAGGCAAGGGCATAGGGTATGCATAAAGCAATCCTTTCCCTGGTATATCCCACCAGTTTTCAACAGCCAGGGCCTTTAGCTGACCTTGACAGAACAGTTGCATCTGTGTCACAATTAGGCTTGAGCAGTTTGATATTCACAATGCTGGAAAAATAACAGTGACTCTCGTATTAGTTACACTTCAGGTCATTGGTTTTAAAAAATAAAAATAAAAAAAAATCCTCTTCCAATGTCACAGCAGTATGAACAGTTTCTCAGGCTTACCATGCATACAGTAGTTTTTGGATGAAAACCTATCTGCCTTTTTCCCCCCCTTTGAGGTCCCTCCTGATGCAAGGAAAAAAGTATTCCTGACGTAATATTGTCTTTCTGCTCCTTTGGTACGCGGACTGTCATCAGTCCTCCCCTCGCCTCCCCTTTCTGACTCTCCGTGAGCTTTCCTGCTTGTGACATGCTTCATAAAGCTTTAATTAGCTTTTATTCCTTTAGCAACTCGTTACTCAAACTTTCACTGGGCAAGCCCTGCGTAACCTGGCCTGACCTTATAGCTGAGCCTGCTTTAAGCAGGAGGTTGGGCTAGGTGACATCCTGGGGTCCCTTCAACCTGAATTACGCTACGGTCCCATGACCTCACATGCAATGAGGCTGGTGCAGAGGGGAAGCTCGGCAAAGCGTTAAACAAGATTAAGACTTAAATCAGGTGACTGAAGAGACTGCAGCGATAACCGAAGCCGCGTCTACTGTGCAGTCAGGCAGCGCGCTCTCACCTTGCTGGAGCAACTCCTGCAGAGAAGCCTGCCAGCTGGGACTCAGAAGACAAGCCCACGATGCCGTGTGATTCTTATCTGAGCTAATTTACTCAACGGTAGACTAGGTATGTTTTCTAGGCTGCAATCTACTCCTGACTGTAGCACAGACATACGCCCGAAGCCTGACTGCGCCTACGCAGTCGGGCACGGGGCTTGCTACCAGTGCGAACAGCCCCCCCAAAGCGCAGAGAGCAGCTCCTGCAGCGCAACTGCACCCCGAAGAGGGATTGCTTTGCCAGGTTTGCCTCGCCTCCCGTACCAGCTGGGAACTGCCACCCTGGTAGCCACCGTCTCGCAGCAGTCGAGTGGCAAAAGTT